CGCCTAGGCAGGCGGTGCGATGAAGCGGTAGCGTGTCAAAGTCAACGATGACTGTTTTTCCCTGAATAACTTAACTATATTATAAACACACAAACACCACCTGTGAGTCTGTGTTTGGAGACCATGGTGACAACTGGTTCAGTGAAATATTTAGCAGTGTGTATTGATTGTAATCTTGCTTGTTGTAAGCATGTCAACCATGTGATAGTAGAAGCAAAGGGTTATTTAACGGCGCTAAGGATTATGGCTGCGACAAACTACGAAGCAGCGTCACCTATTCTCTTTTCCCAGGGGCTGATGCTTTCTGTATTGAGTGCGCGCTGGCGATTCTGACTATTAGCAATATACACACGCACACACACACACGCACACACACACACACACACACACACACGCACACACACACACACACACACGCACACATAGAGACTAGATCGGATAGGGAATGAGGCCAATGCGCTTCACGCTTGGACGCACTAAAAATGCAGCATGTAGGACGGTGCGTTACCTCATTGATCTTCTAACTATGGAAGTGAGAAAAGTGATCTGCTGAGCAGGTGTGTATCTGCGTATCAGTGCTGATACACACCGTCAATTGCACAGTGAGATTCGCAGAAAGAATGGAAAGGGTTAAAAAGAGGAAATTCCTGGGCGGGTCAGGCTCTGGACATATTCAACAATCAAAGCAATGTTTCCCCGATGTGAATTTGAACAAAGAAGACACAAACAATAGACTGCACAATTTATTGCCTGGCATATTTCGCTGTATCTCGTCAGGTGCATACTACAGTAACAAGTGAATAAATGAAGCAAATAGCTGAATCCTAAAAACTGAAACACAAATTCGACTACATTCTACACTGTCTGTTTCACCAAGGTAACACTTGTTACCTTGGTGAAACAGACAGTGTAGAACTACACAAATTCGAGTACATTCTACACTGTCTGTTTCACCAAGGTAACACTTGTTACCTTGGTGAAACAGACAGTGTAGAATGTACTCGAATTTGTGTTTCAGTTGTTACCTTGGTGAAACAGACAGTGTAGAATGTACTCGAATTTGTGTTTCAGTTTTTAGGATTCATTTTGTTACCTTGGTGAAACAGACAGTGTAGAATGTACTCGAATTTGTGTTTCAGTTTTTAGGAGTCAGCTATTTGCTTCATTTATTCACTTGTTACTATAGTATGCACCTGACGAGATACAGCGAAATATGCCAGGCAATAAATTGTGCAGTCTATTGTTTGTGTCTTCTTTGTTCATATTCAACAATGGCGGTAACAAAAGCAATGATGTAGCTAGAGACACGGCATTTCCCCCATCTGTTCAAAGTGATTCCATGAGCATGCTTAAGAACACAGAGACAGGATGGATTCGAAAAAAAAAAATGGTTGGAGTTGTTTAAGAAATCTCATCTGATAGGAATTAGTTTCATTTTTGTGCCAGGACTGTGGGGTAGAGGAAATAAACGAGCGGACTGGCTTGCTGACAGGGCACTGGTAGGTACAGGACAAGCAATGGACCGGGCCGACATTTTAAATGCTCTTAAAGAAGCAGGACGAATAGATGATTCAGGTGACTACATTAAATCGGCAACAGTAAGTAAAATTTTAAAAAACCTAAAAAACCACAATAACTTCGGGTCAAAAGGAGTGTCGCTAGACACGAATAAACCAACACAGAACTGGTGTTAACAGTCGCCACACGCTAGGTGATATACTGAAGATGGGATCCGAGCGCTTATGGATTTGTCCGATGTGCAGTGAGGGTAATCTGACGATTAACCAACTGACTGTCCCAAATTAACTAGACTACCCGCGGTTCTCAAAATCTCAACTAGTAAACATTGATATTTGACCAATTTTCACCCTTGTATTTTGTTAGCATTACCAATTTTCACCCTTGTATTTTGTTAGCATTACCAATTTTCACCCTTGTATTTTGTTAGCATTACCAATTTTCACCCTTGTATTTTGTTAGCATTACCAATTTTCACCCTTGTATTTTGTTAGCATTATAAAAAGCCATTATAACGTGGGTTTATAGTGTTAGTTAATTTGATATTTTAATTTTATTTTTACCAGCTCGTTATACCGTAGTTAGCAAATGATTCTGAAAAGGTAATTTTGAAACGGATACTAGATTATATGGAAGAGTGGAGAAAAAAGGGTGAAAAAAAAAAAAACAAATATTTTAAGTCAGCTTTACAAAATCAATAACAATAAACAAACAAAGGGCGTTGCTGCGTTAGCGCACAAAGACAACACAGCACACATACACAAATATAGACGTCCCACGCGCAGTATTCACTGTAACTGAACGTTAGACGCTGGCGTCCACAAGGCGTACATACGGGTCCTGATAATTCATGGTTGACTAGGCACGCATTGGCGCCACATGTGGGAAGATAGCAAGTTTACTGGGTGTTCAATTGTTTGCGCCGGCCTTTATTCTTTCAACACTGGCCTAGAGGCTTGTTTAACCACAACAGTTCTGGATACAGTTCTCGGGGTAACGTACTAATGTCTTGTCCTATTCCTCCTCTTGAGAACGAGGTTTTTCGCCTGGGACGCAGATGAGTATAACTTATTTTGTACATTAGAGTCCTATGTAGTCACTTCATAGTTAGAGTATATTTATGTACGTGTACTGTGATGTTCTTAATGTGTTGATGAAGGCTAATCGCCGCAACGTCCTTTGTTTATTGTGATCGATTTTGTGAAGCTAACATAAACTATTTGTTCTTTCTTACCCCCTTTTTTCTCTTCCCTATAATTTCCTACCCAACTAATGTCTGTATATCAGTATCTTATGTCTGTATATCAGTATCTGTCTGTATATCAGTATCTAATGTCTGGATATCAATATATAATGCTTGTATATCAGTATCTGCCTCATTTACTAGTTTAAAACCTCTTTATTGTGCATGCTTGACTGTCTGTTCATTTGTCCGTCTAACTGACTAGTGTCCCGTGAATTATCTGTCTCATCTTACATGGTGTACCTACCAGCACGTCTGTCTATATGTCTGCCTAGCTTTCTGCCTGTTCATCTGTCCGTATGTCTGCCTAGTGGTCTGTCTATTCATTTGTCAGTATGTCTGCCTAGCTGTCCGTCTGTCCCTTATCTCCTGACTGCCTAGCTTGCTTCCTATCCATTTTCCTGTAGGTCTGCCTAATTGTCTCTCTATCCATTTGTCTGCATGTTTGCCAGTCCATTTGTCTGTATATCTACCTAGATGTCTGTAAATCTGTCTAGCGATTTGTCTGTATGTATGTCTAGCTTTGTGTCTGTCCATGTGTCTGTATATATGCCTGGCTGTCTGTCCATGTGTCTATATGTCTGCCTAACTGTCTGTTTGTCCATTTGTCTGTATATCTGCCTAACTGTCTGTCTGTCAATTTGTCTGTATATTTGCCTGGATAGCGTACATCCCTCAAGCATGGTGCATCAGCCTGTCAGGCAGCGAAGGTTGCAAAGGCAGAGAAACTGAGGCAGACTAGAGAGAATCGTACTGCTAACCCTGCACTTACTGCGGCTTCCATCTGTTGTCCGCACTGCTCAAGAACTTTCATGGCTCATACTTCGTACTCATAATCATTGATCATTACTACTTTGGATGAGAGTGGTCTTTATCACTGGTGATAGACGAACAACAACATGTTTGCTTAACTGTCTCCTGTCCATGTGTCTGTCTGCCTGACTGTCAGTCTTTTCATTTGTATTGTATCTGCATAAATGTCCGTCTGTATGTTCATTAGTCTGTATGTCTGCCTAACTGCTTTCACTTTAAATGCATGTATATTAATGTATGCTGGTTGCAACTTGGTTTCTTCCTGTTTGACTGTGGTTCTTCTTGTTGTTTCATCATATTGATCTATTTTAACTAATGTTGATTCCTGCTGGGCTACGAACACCGAATCGACAAATGAAGACCTTTTCCAAATGACAACGTTCGATGCGATCACCGGAGCAGGATTTTATGGCTGTTACAAACATGTCTGCTTCTCCTTTGTGGTCGGGGCCATTAAAATGGAGAGAAACTGCTTTAGAAGCCTTCTTATTGATAGCCATTAAATGTTCACGGAAACGATCCCTCAACATCCTACCCATTTCACCAATGTATGCCATGCCACATCTTGTTGCATACAATGGCATAAATTAGATTACGGGATTTACATGTAAATACTTCTCCAATTTGAAAGACATCTTTCGGGAATCTAAGGGAAGAGGTCTGCTTGACAAAGCGACATGTCTTGCATCTCGGGTGGGAACATTTGTGTGTGCCGAAAGCAAGAGTTTTCTGGATCAATGGGAGTCTGCTTCCGGATTGTTTCCCCTTCTGGTTTCGGTAGGTGCTCATGGTAAGATAGGGATGTACGATTTTATAGACAGTAAATTGCAGAGTATAAGTATATTTTAATATATTATAATTAAAATGTTATGTTAGATTGTTTTTTGTTCCGAAGGTGCGGATCATATTTTCCCTTTTTAGGGTCATTGACAAGTGCTAATACAGGATAAAGAAGCACCTTGGTAATATAGGTTGTATTGCAGCAACGCCCCTAAAATACGCATCGTAATGCTCGTAACTACTACTGCCTAACTGTCTAGTATCCACTCATTGATCAGTGTGATCTAACAGTTAGATAGCTCCTGGTTGTGTCTATCCGATCCAGGTAGTTGTCCATCTGTCTCTCTGTACAATGTGTCCGGCTACAGATATGTCCTGTAAAGTGCCTCTTGCTTTGTTGTGCCGTTTCTTGCTGTCTCTCTAGTGCCTAGCTAGTGGTATAATGAACTATACCACACTTATGGTTGTATTATTCAAAACTGATTGCTACCAATTTTGTGACTGGTTTTATGTTATCCACTAGTGCGTACTCTAAGTCTACCCCCTGGATCGTGAATGCTGTCAAGACACTGACTAGATCGTGGATGTTGTCCATTTACCAAAGGATTAAGGAAGGTCAGGCCATTAAAGGATTTTCTGTTAGCCAATGGCAACTTTTCTAACCTCCTGCCTAAGGTCAGTTCCCGCCGTCCGACATGCCAGCAGACGATCCGTCCGTTGTGACTTCCGGAAGATATTCAAACGACCCATCCTCATGCTGACTCTTGTTCTTCTTGTTGGCGGCTTTTGGTTTGTCTACCAAAGACGCGATCACAAGGTATGTTAATCTTCTACATATTCTTCACAGGCATCGCCGATCTTGTTTCTCAGTGCCACTTATTGATTTGATATTGTAATAAAGGGTGTTTTCGTAATATCTCTGCCCTGGATGACGTCACGGGACAGTCCAATATTTGCGATGGCGGTAAGAGCAGGTTTCTCAGCTTTTCCGATACTACTCTAAAACGTCTAGAACTGGCTCTAACCCCAACCCACCTATTTCCTACAAGAGATTGCTGCCTAGATCCCACGACTGCATGCAGCCTATCTACCACCCCCTAAAATATTATACTGTCTGTTGGAGGGGGGGGGGGGAATATTGTGAAAGAATCTAATAAAATTATATAGTTGATGTTACAAATATATTTTTGTTGTTGTTTTTGTAATCCGACTTTTGAAAATGCCAACAAACACATTCACTGTGTTTCGTCTGCCCGCCCTTGTCTCCAAAAAAGCTCACTGTGTTTCGTCTGCCCGCCCTTGTCTACAAAAAAGCTCAGTGTTTTGTCTACCCGCCCTTGTCTACAAAAAGTTCACTGTGTTTTGTCTACCCGCCCTTGTCTACAAAAAGTTCACTGTGTTTCGTCTACCCGCCCTTGTCTACAAAAAGTTCACTTCCCTCATCCGCACCCTTTCTACTGATATTCTCCACACATTTCTCCCCGTGTGGGTTATGAGGTCCCATTGTGGGAGATAACAGAACAGACTCATTGTCCCTAAATAAGCATGTAGTAAAGAGCGACTAAATAGGAATTAGATAAAGTCAGATTTGTTAAACCGAAAGGTGCAAATATCGCAGCACAGCTGTAAATCACAACAGGACGTGCCAACCACTCTTTTAAGGGTGGACTGATACCTTTGTTGAGTAACCTATAGATGTCAACATCTGTCAGTACCTCACTTAGCATCTGTCAGTGCCTCACTTAGCATCTCTCAGTACCTCAGTCAGCATTTGTCAGTGCCTCACTTAGCATGTCAGTACCTCACTTAGCATCTGTCATTACCTCAGTCAGCATCCTTCAGTACCTCAGTCATCATCTGTCAGTACCTCAGTTAGCATTCTTAAGTACCCCAGTCAGCATCTGTCAGTACCTCAGTTAGCATTCTTAAGTACCTCAGTCAGCATCTGTCAGTACCTTAGTCATCGTCTGTCAGTACCTCAGTCAGCTTCTGTCAGTACCTCAGCCAGCATCCTTCAGTACCTCAGTCAGCATCCTTCAGTACTTCAGTCAGCATCTGTCGTTACCCCAGTCAGCATCTGTCAGTACCTCAGTCAGCATCCTTCAGTACTTCAGTCAGCATCTGTCGTTACCCCAGTCAGCATCTGTCAGTACCTCAGTTAGCATCTGTCGGTACCTCAGTCTGCATCTGTCAGTACCTCTGTCAGCATCTGTCGGTACCTCAGTCAGCATCCTTCAGTACCTCAGTCAGCATCTGTCGGTACCTCAGTCAGCATCCTTCAGTACCTTAGTCAGCATCCTTCAGTACCTCAGTCTGCATCTGTCGGTACCTCAGTCAGCATCCTTCAGTACCTCAGTCAGCATCTGTCGGTACCTTAGTCAGTTTCTGTCAGTACCTCAGTCAGCATCTGTCGGTACCTCAGTCAGCATCTGTCAGTACCTCTGTCAGCATCTGTCGGTACCTCAGTCAGCATCTGTCAGTACCTCTGTCAGCATCTGTCGGTACCTCAGTCAGCTTCTGTCAGTACCTCAGTCAGCATCTGTCGGTACCTCAATCAGCATCCTTCAGTACCTCTGTCAGCATCTGTCAGTACCCCTGTCAGCATCTGTCGGTACCTCAGTCAGCTTCTGTCAGTACCTCAGTCAGCATCTGTGGGTACCTCAGTCAGCATCCTTCAGTACCTTAGTCAGCATCTGTCGGTACCTCAGTCAGCATCGTTCAGTACCTCTGTCAGCATCTGTCGGTACCTCAGTCAGCATCCTTCAGTACCTCAGTCAGCATCCTTCAGTACCTCAGTCAGCATCCTTCAGTACCTCAGTCAGCATCTGTCAATACCTCTGTCAGTACCTCTGTAAAAAAAATTTTTTTTGTTCCGTTGTTTTCTGAGAATTATTATCTGGCATTTCAGCTTAAAATCCTCCATTTTCTCTTAGCATGAAAGTCGTCCGCATGTGGGATGCAATTTGTATTATTATTTGAAGCCCTATTCTGCTTCTGTAACTGAATATAGCCGGGGAATAGAAATGGTCTAACCATAGATATGGCCTAACGGCTGAAAGGGGTTTCTGGGACCTCTCCACGGGTGATCCTCATCCGCATAGTGGCACTTTGTGTCACCGGGTGTTTATCGCTTGTGATATGTCCTAGTGGGGTACAACTAGCTACCTAACTACCTACCTATCTACCTAACTACCTATCTATCTACCTAGATATAAACATACCTACCTATCTACCTTCCTACCTTCCTACATATCTATTTTCCTCCCAAAGAACAACGAGATCATTTACGACTCACGTCCGTTTGTGTATTTATTTGTAAATTTGAAATGTTGAATACTTACTCCTTCATTAATGTCATTATTTCTCTCTGCTCATTGCTCTTCCTTCTTTTTACCTTAATAAAAATATAAACTGTCTCTAAATGGACACAGTGTCTGTAGTTATTATGTTCCTGTCGTCAACAGATTGGCAGCTATTCAAGATGGCAGCCAGCGGCCACGTCCAGACAGGGTACAACGGCCAAGTACTTCGTTCGGGCACGTGACCAAGAAATTTACATGTACTCAGCGGTGACCAACCGTCACCACCCGGTCAACAACGCCATTAACATCATCATCACCACCCTGTCGGCATCCAGGGCGTCCTTGCAGTGTTGTGTTGTGCTCGACGGTAAGACCCTCTATGTCACCCCGGCTGAGACGTTTTTCCGGTACAGTACGTCTGATGTTGCCTTCATTGCCAACATATTGGAGTTTTTCAGCGACGGGCATCTGTACCGCGCTCGGCAGTACTCTTGCTCGCTACCGGACATTGGTCATTCTGCCGAATACGTGACACTAACCTCATCTCTGTGTTCTCCAGATATCAGAGACTATCTTAAAATCCTCCACCCCCCTCCGGTGCCAGGTGGACTCGCTCTATGTGCAAAAATAGCTTACAATGGAGGGCTTGACCCCGAGAAGTTCATCGAGTGGGTTGAAGTTCAAAGACTGTTAGGGGTGGACAAGATACTTATCTTTGATTTAGGAAACCCGGAAAATCTAACGCGGGTGTTTAGATACTACCAAAATCAAGGGATTTTAGATGTCCAGCCTTATGAGCTGCCGGGATATCCGGAAAACCGGACAATTTGGGGAGCTGCCACAGCGACAGACCAGTTCCATCACGACGAGTCCATGGCTGTCTTGGAGTGCAATCAAAGGATGTCCGGTTACACGTTTGTGATGAGTCATGACGTGGATGAGTTCATTATACCAAGACAGGACGTCACTTTGAAACAATTCTTCCAAGTAAGTAGACACGCTGGTTGTTTTTAAATAAATATACTCACAATTGTAAAGGAATGCCCGGTAAATGATATGCTTATCCCCCCCCCCCCCCAATCTACACACTGGTAAACACTAGCTCACTTCTGATTGGTCTACCTTCAGTCTACCTCGCTTCTTATTGGTCAGCCTTCACCTGACCTTCAAACAAGTTGACAGGGGTGTTTCCAAATGCCGATGATATCGCATGTTCTATATTTCACCATGCCAACATTCCAAAAACATCGACAACTGGGTCTAACACTCAACCCCTTTAGAGAGTGACGAAACATATGTAACAGGCAGTTTCTTTCTCGGAATATAAACGTAAATGCACGACAAAAACAGAGCGCCACACCCATAACCTAGACCACAAATTTATCAATGGAAAGTGACTTACTTTCCGTGGGGAGACTAACGTTTATTTAAATTGAATGCCCTACGGGTCAAATGGTGCGGTGGATAAGGTACCAACTGAAGGCTCTAATGGCACCTAAATAAAGCGGCAGAAAACAAAGACGTTAAACAGGCATCTGAGTTTTACAATCTGGGAACAACATTCATCACGGAGGATGGCAAATTAGGAGAAGAAATTAACCATCAAATAAAGTAAAGCAAAACAAGTACTGCGACAGCTAGCCCCCTGCCCTGAAAAAAAAAAGAAGACGAAGAAAAAGAAGAAGTAGAAGAAGAAGAAGAAGAAGAAGAAGAAAAAGAAGAAGAAGAGGGAAAAGGAGAAGAAGAAGACGCTAATGTGTCAGATGAAGACCTCTCTGAAAGAGCAAGTTTACTTAGCCCCATGGCAATCTACATTGTCTTTGATTGTAGATATGTGATCATTCCCACTTCAGCTTTGTCTGCATGACTTTGATTGTAGATATGTGATCATTCCCACTTCAGCTTTGTCTGCATGACTTTGATTGTAGATATGTGATCATTCCCACTTTCCACTTCATTTTTGTCTGCCTGACTTTGATTGTAGATTAGTGATCATTCCCACTTCAGCTTTGTCTGCATGACTTTGATTGTAGATATATGATCATTCCCACTTCAGCTTTGTCTGCATGACTTTGATTGTAGATATGTGATAATTCCCACTTCAGCTTTGTCTGCATGACTTTGATTGTAGATATGTGATCATTCCCACTTCAGCTTTGTCTGCATGACTTTGATTGTAGATATGTGATCATTCCCTCTTCAGCTTTGCCTGCATGACTGATTGTAGATATGTGATCATTCCCACTTCCCACTTCATCTTTGTCTGCATGACTTTGATTGTAGATATGTGATCATTCCCACTCCATCTTTGCCTGCATGACTTTGATTGTAGATATGTGATCATTCCCATTTCAGCTTTGTCTGCATGACTTTGATTGTAGAAATGTGATCATTCCCACTTCAGCTTTGTCTGCATGACTTTGATTGTAGATATGTGATCATTCCCACTTCAGCTTTGTCTGCATGACTGATTGTAGATATGTGATCATTCCCACTTCAGCTTTGTCCGCATGACTTTGATTGTAGATATGTGATCATTCCCATTTCAGCTTTGTCCGCATGACTTTGATTGTAGATATGTGATCATTCCCACTTCAGCTTTGTCTGCATGACTTTGATTGTAGATATATGTTCATTCCCACTTCAGCTTTGTCTGCATGACTGATTGTAGATATATGATCATTCCCACTTCAGCTTTGTCCGCATGACTTTGATTGTAGATATGTGATCATTCCCACTTCAGCTTTGTCCGCATGACTTTGATTGTAGATATATGATCATTCCCACTTCAGCTTTGTCTGCATGACTTTGATTGTAGATATATGATCATTCCCACTTCAGCTTTGTCTGCATGACTGATTGTAGATATATGATCATTCCCACTTCAGCTTTGTCCGCATGACTTTGATTGTAGGTATGTGATCATTCCCACTTCAGCTTTGTCTGCATGACTGATTGTAGATATTTGATCATTCCCACTTCAGCTTTGTCTGCATGACTTTGATTGTAGAAATGTGATCATTCCCACTTCCCACTTCATCTTTGTCTGCATGACTTTGATTGTAGATATGTGATCATTCCCACTTCAGCTTTGTCTGCATGACTCTAGTTATGAATCTAAATTCAATGTATGTCCTCGCATTTTGACCTTAACTGTTGTTTCTAAGCTGCTGTATCTTATTCAGTCACTGCTAGACTCGCCAAGTAGAAAACTTTATGAGAACTTTCTCATCCACAGCATCTGTGACACAGTCTTCCAAAATTATCCGTTCTCGTTTACCCAAATGGTTTGTAAATTGTTCGTGTCCCTCTTGGAATGCACTCAGATGTGGTCAGCATTATTACAATATTTGGGCAAAACAAGAATAGACCCACTGCCTCCCCAAAAGCATGTCGTAAGAGTCGACTAATTGGGTAGCTTCCTTTGAAGTCGGAGTGCATCTGCCGGAGAGGCAAGGAACCAACAGTCTGTATTCAAGAGAATGAGATCTGTAAAACTGATACACACGCAACACTCAGGTTCTGGAGCAGGACTGCAGTTCAGTAGTTGACGAGCAACCAGAACTTTCCACCAGAGTGTACAGCTGGTGAACGCGAAGAAGAAGAAGAAGAAGAAGAAGAAGAAGAAGAAGAAGAAGAAGAAGAAGAAGAAGAAGAAGAAGAAGAAGGAGAGTCGGCACAGAACCAATACTGAACTTTAAAGGTGGACAATAAATCAAATGGTTTGGCCATGTAACAAGATTGGCATCAGATAGGGCACCACAGAGAGCGTTGTTATACAGATACAACGGCAACATAGCCAGAGGTAGATCACGCAGAATATGGACCGCTGAAATATCCGATAAACTGAAAAGTAGGGCGGTACCGAATAGTGATTTTCACTATTCGGCCGAACACAAATAGCGGGACCAATTATTCGGCCGAATACGAATAGTGTATCATCATTATCAGGTGCCTCGCCGACTGGCATAGGCGATTATGCCTCGCCACAATCTGCGATCCCCTGCAGCATTCATTAGTTCGTATGCTGACACACCTCCATGCCATGCAATAAGACTGTCAAGAATCTTCTCTCGTTGTCTTCCTCTATCCCTCCTTCCACAGATCTTTCCAGTGGTCACCCCATGTTCCATTTTCCCTTTTCTCATAACATGGCCGAAAAATGATGACTGTCTCCTTCTGATGTCTGTGATAAGTTGTCTTCGGGCTCCCGCCTCTTTCAAAACCTCTTGGTTGCTTTTTGTAGCTGTCCAGGGTATTTTAAGCATTGTTCTGTAAAACCACATCTCTGAGGCCTCAAGAAATTGTTTAGCCTGCCTACCGATTGTCCAAGACTCACAGCCATATGTTAAAACTGAATGTATGTAGCAAGCAAGAATTCTTTTTCTGACCTTCAATGACAAAGATATATTGCATAAGATGCTCTTTATTTTTGTAAAATGCAGTTTTTGCCTGTTCTATTCTGTTTCTTATTTCAGTAATGCATATTCCATCTCATGTTATCCATGTGCTCAGATACTTACATTTCTGTACTTGTCCCAAAATAACACCATTGACTTTTATTACACATTTAGGAATAATTCTTTTCTTTAATGCCACCATTACCTTTGTCTTCCCACTATTCAAAGTAAGGCCCATTATTCCACTTTCGAATAGTGAATAGTGTACAAGATGTAGTACAGAATAGTAAACATTTAAAAACATTTTATGTTTTGCATCCTTCAGTCAGTCAGTCTGTGGTAACTAATACCTAGGAATGAAAGTATTCTTAGTTTTATAACAAGTAACTTAACTTGTAAATTGTCACTGACAGCTTAGTTAATCCATGAAAGCGGCATTAGCTTTAAAAAAAAAACAACAATCGTTCCATGTTGTCAGCATTAAGGCGGCTTCTCGTCTCACTGAAGGTATTTCCAACTGTACTAAACAGACGTTTACTTGGTACGCTCGTAGGTGGTGCACAAAGATAACGCTTAACAGTATGAACCAAGGTGGGAAATATTGACCTGTTTATTTTCCACCAGTCCAGAAACAGGTGTAAGGTAACCACTATTAGCATTCGGCCCGACCGCAAGTATTCGGCCGAATACCGAATAGTTATTAGGTCCACTATTTGGCCCCAAAACAAATAGGAAGCGAATATTCGGTACAGTCCTACTGAAAAGTACTTTATATGAAGCAAACAGAAGTGCCCGTTCCAGTGATCTCTTCCTTCCCTGACGCCACGAGGTATTCCAGGAGTAGAGAAGAAGAAGAAGAAGAAGAAGAAGAAGAAGAAGAAGAAGAAGAAGAAGAAGAAGAAGAAGAAGAAGAAGAAGAAGAAGAAGAAGAAGAAGAAGAAGAAGAAGAAGAAGAAGAAGAAGAAGAAGAAGAAGAAAAAGAAGAAGAAGAAGAAGAAGAAGAAGAAGAAGAAGAAGAAGAAGAAGAAGAAGAAGAAGAAGAAGAAGAAGAAAAAGAAGAAGACTATCTTCTAGATTCACTTTATATCTCTGATTTGTTATCAAAACCATCCGTTCTGCCCTTCCACCCATGTGTCCTTTAAAGTATAGTAGAGTCAAACTGTTAACCATTTACGATAGAAAGAGTTAAAGTAAAGTACAGTCAAACTGTTAACCAGTTACGATAGAAAGAAATAAAATATTGTGGAATTAAACTGTTAACGATTTACGATAGAAAGAGTTAAAGTATAGTAGAGTCAAACTGTTAACGGTGTGTTCAGCTCTCAGCTCAGTTTTATTCATGCAGCTGTTAAATCCTGGTTACCTGAAGCCGTGGTTTCCCGTTGTGAATGTGAACAAAGAAGACATGGAAAATATACCGCACACTGTATTGTCTGGTTTATGTCGCTGCAACACGTCACTTTCATACTGCAGAATCAAATCAACGAAGGAAACATAGAAAACTGCTAGCTGACTAAAACAGCACACACATGTGATTCAGTGTGTTTCAGGAGGGTCGTGTTCAACTAACTTGTATTTCTGTGTATA